GCTTGCAGTGAGCCAAGATCGCGCCACTGCACTCCAGCCTGGGCGACAGAGCGAGACTCCGTCTCAAAATAAAAAAAAAGAAAAGAAAACCTTTTCTGACTTAGGTTGTAACAAATCTTTTTTCATAAATTTTAAGAGACATTTGCTTTCCTTTGGAATTTCATCCCCAAACATCCCTCCAAAAATAAGAATTTTCAAAACTAGCAATGCAGCAGTCCAATCTTTTTATCATGCAACCTCTTGGGCCTTCTCCCACCCCCACCTGAGAGATGACAGGAAGCTGGAGGAGTGAGTGGAGCCTCTTTCCGCATTTTCGATTCTGAGGTTTTGCATCTGAAGACTCCCCTGACTCATCCTGGATCCACTGTGACCTGGGTCGGACTAATTGTCTGAAAAGGGCTCACGCTAGTTGCAGATGTGATATGTGCACGTCTCTACATGTGTAAATACATCAATATAGATCTAGAATTGGGCGGAAACCTCTCATAAAAGGAGGCTCAAGCTGCACCGCTGGGCGGCAGGCAGGACAGCAACCTGAACACAGCCTCTCTGTTCCATTTCCACTTCAACGCCAGGGAGGGCAGGACAGAAACCTGGCGTTAGTGAGATTTTGTGGCTGATCCCACAGCTTCTTGAGCAGATCTGGGGCCTTCTGTGCCAGAGTTTGTGGAATCTCACATGGGCAAGAGTCTTGAGCCGGTAAATACAGGACATCGGCATCAGAGACTCAGAACAGGGCTCCTGGAAGAGGCGCCACAGGCTGGAAGCAGGAAGCCAAGTGCAGGGCAAACCACGTCGCATCGTGTTACCGGCAGACCACTCTTTAAACCCGATCTGTTCTTTTCCAGGCCCTAGCTAAACCAGGCTACCTAAATACCTGTCATTATCTGTGATGATTTCGCATTAATTGGGGTTTTTGTCCCTTCTGTTCCTTTTCTTAGAGGTTGGCTTCTTAAACACTTCCAATGTGTCTGCTAGTTGCTCATTGCTACAGATTGAAGTTGTGGCGTTTGGGGGAAAACTGTATAAAAGTCTTAAGTGATGTAACATTTAAATAATTAATATGAAGGGCGGCTATAACCAGCTGTTATAAGGCGGCTGTTCTAACAATTCTAGACCTGCAGGAGCTCATTCTGACTGAACGTCGCCCTGGCTTTCAGGACATTTTTGGTCAGTGACTTACTGTAATCACAATGTGGCTATGAATAGCTGTGTCAGGCGAAGTTAAACATGGAAGTAAAAGAGAACAAATGTTTTCCCTGATGTAACGGACAAGGTGTGTTAAGAGATCTTGTTCTGGTATACACTTAATTTTTTTAGAGACAGGGTTTTGCTCTATTGCCCAGGCTGGAGTGCAGTGGTGTGATCACAGCTCATTGCAGCCTCAGCCTCCCACGCAGCTGACCACAGGCTCCCTGGGGTAATTTTTTTTTTTTTTTTTTTGAGAGAGTTTCGCTCATTGCCCAGGCTGGAGTACAATGGTGCGATCTTGTCCCACCGCAACCTCTGCCCCCACAGGTTCGAGTGATTTCTCCTGCCTCAGACTCTCATGTAGCTGGGATTACAGGCATGCACCATCACACCAGGCTAATTTTGTATTTTTAGTAGAGACGAGGTTTCTCCATGTTGGTCAGGCTGGTCTCGAACCCTCGACCTCAGGTGATCTGCCCTCCTTGGCCTCCCGAAGTGCTGGGATTACAGGCGTGAACCACTGCGCCCGGCCTTCCCCGGGGTAATTTTTAATTTTTTTTTTGTAGAAGGGGGTTTCGCACTGTTGCCCAGGCTGGAGTGCAGTGGTGTGCTCACGGCTCACTGCAGTCTCAACCTCTTGAGCTCAAGTGATGCACCAGCTTCAGTCTCCCACGTAGCTGGGACCACAGGCTCCCCGGGCTAATTTTTAATTTTTTTTTTTTTGTAGAGGGGGGTCTCGCTCTGTCGCCCAGGCTGGGGTGCAGTGGCGCCATCACGACTCACTGTAGTCTCGACCTCCTGGGTTCAAGTGATCAGCCAGCCTCAGCCTCCAGAGTAGCTTGGTCCACAGGGGTGCGCCACCACGACCGGCTGATGTTTACAATTTTTCTGTAGAGAGGGTGTCTTGCTATGTTGCCCAGGCTGGTCTCAAATGATCCTGCAGCCTCGGCTTCCCAAAGTGCCAGGCTTACAGGCGTGAGCCACTGCGCCCAACCTAAACTTAATTTTTAACCTAATGAAAATACACAAACAAACCTGATTACTAGAGGCTGCCCTGCCTATGGAATAGCCATTCGTTATTCCGTTAAAACAAAGCACCCGATTTCCAGAGAACGCGCTCGAAGGTGTGGCACTTCAGCGCCCGCGTTTGAGCGCTCTGGCTGCACCCACAGACAGCAGAAGGCGGCCCCTCTGCAGCACGGCCGATTTACTGCTTTGGTCTGTCCCTTCCTCCTCTCGGAGGCGAGTCTCTCACGCAGGACGCCTGAGGCACGGGCACCCGCGGTTTCTTTGGCGAAAGTTCCAAGGCTACCGAAACCCCGCGCCCATCCCGCCCACGTGTCTTCACAAAAGCCACGCGCGGGACAAGAGCTGTCAGGGACCGGGTCCCCGAGAGCCGCTCCAAAGCCGCTCCGCATCCACCCTGCCCGGGCCCAGGCGCCCGCGCGCGGGGGAGCTCCTCGGGGCGCAGGACGCCCGCCACCCAGGCCAGGCCGCGCTTGTCGATGGGGTGACGGAGCTGTCTCGCTCACGTAGAGACGCTGGCACAGCCCCGTGAGCGCACCGAAAACGGAAACCGGATTGTCACCACAGGGAAACGCCGCGCCCGCCGCTGCTAGCCCGGAAGCCCCCACCCGCCCGAGCTCACCTCGCCGCGCGGCCGCCATCTTACCCGCCCCGCCCGCCGGTCCGTCGCGATCCCGGCAGCCTCTCGGCCCGCGCCGCTCGCGCTCCTTCGGCCATTTTCGCGTCTCCTGACGAAGGGGCCCGACCGCGCCGCGTTTCGGGAGCGGACGTCCGAGCCACGGCCGTAGTCCGTCCGGCACCGCTCGGGCACTTTCGGAAGGGAGGAGGCGGAGAACCGAGGTTCGGGAGCATTCGGGCTCGGGGACACTCGGCTCGTCTCGGCCCGGTCTCGGGCTGACTCGGCTCCCGCCGGCAGCGGGAACGGGCGAAACCCGCGGCACTAAGCTCTGTCTCTGAGAGGCAGAATTGCGCCGGGCGCCGGCGAAAATCTGCCTAGAGCCGTCCAGCCCTGTCGGCCGGGGACAACAGCCGTCTCAGCCTGTTAGGCAGTGAGGAGAACCGGGGCTCAGTCTCTCGGAAGCCCTCGTGCGGACTCGTACCTATTCGGACTGACTCGGCTTCCCACTTCGGGGAGCTTCGACCCTCCTCGGTTCAGGACTCGGTCTCGGCTCGGCGGCTTCGTGCAGGTTCGGCTCTTATTCGGGCAGCCTCGGTTCGCCTCGGTTCCGCTCCACGGGCAGACTCGGCTCGGCTCTGCTCGGCGGCTGGCTGCCTTTTCGGTCCCTGTTCGGGCGGCGGCTTCGGGCGGCCTCGGCCCAGCTCGGGCGTCCTCTTCGGGCCCCGCTTCGGGCTCCGCGACCGGCGCTTCGGGCGGCCCCGGACGGCGCCTTCGGGAAGGCTCGGCGGAGTCCGGATGGAGGACTCGGACTCGGCGGCAAAGCAGCTGGGCCTGGCTGAGGCGGCGGCGGTGGCGGCCGCGGCCGCTGTGGCGGCGGCGGCCGCGGCCGCGGCGGGAGGCGAGGCGGAGGAGCCGGTGCTGAGCAGGGACGAGGACTCGGAGGAGGACGCAGACTCGGAGGCGGAGCGGGAGACTCCGCGGGTCACGGCAGTGGCGGTGATGGCGGCGGAGCCCGGGCACATGGACATGGGTGCCGAGGCCCTGCCCGGTCCCGACGAGACCGCCGCTGCCGCAGCCTTCGCAGGCAAGTGCGCCCGCCGGCCTCTCGCCTCGTCCGGTTCCCGCGCGCCTACCCCGCACACCTGCCCGGCACAACTGCCCCACGTGACCAGCCCGCCACACCTGCCCCTCACACCTGCTCCACGTGACCAGTCCGCCCCACCCGCCCCCACAACTACCTCTCACACCTGCCCCACATACCTGCTGCAGGTGACCAGCCTGCCCCACCTGCCACAGACACCTGCCCCACACACCTCTTCCACTCAGCCTGCCCCACCCGCCCCTCACACCTGCCCCATGTGATCAGCCTGCCCTACCTGCCCCGCACACCTGCCCCACATACCTGCCCCAGGTTACCAGCCTGCCCCACCTGCCCCGCACACGTGCCCCACACACCTGCCCCTGGTGACCCACCCAGCCTCACCTGGCCTGCCCTGCACACACCTGCCCTCACCTCCCCTTTTCTTTGTGGCAGCCCTGCCTCCTACTGGTCCCCCTGTGCAGCCCTGCCCCTGCCCTGCCTTTATCTATCCTGGCTCCCCCCACCCACCTGTCCTGGAGAAGCCCGGGGGTGGATGGGCACCTGTGGTCACCAGGAACCCCCAAGTCCTGAGGGCCAGTTCAGGTATGACCTGAGCACTGAGGAGCCAAGGGTGGGCGGCCTGCTGGAGGCCATGATGCCAGAGGTCAGCATGGCTGTGTGGTGGCCCAGGGGGCCCGCGGAGTTACCTGTGCAGGCTCCTCTCCCAGTCCTCCCTCTTCCTCTTGCCTTTTTCCCTAAGGACCTGCTCCTTCTGCCTCCTTCTTGTCGGGCTCCCTGTGGGGAGGCCGCCGTGGCTTGCCAGCCCATATTTTTCTGTAAGCTGCTCATAGTTTCTTGCCACACAGAGCAGCCTCCTTCTCAGGCTCCAAAACACTGGGAGCCCGGGGCAGAACTCACAGATGCCCTACAGGGCTGTTGCCATCCAGCACCTCCTGTGTCCCGCCCTTGTGTCAGTGGGGCATAGACTTCCCCGCCCACCAGCTTCCCAACGCACTGCGCTCTTCCCCATTGGAGCTCCCGAGTGTCCCCCAGGGACTCGCAGCTCAGTGTTCAGACCCTTGGAGGAGCCCCTTGTTGCGTTGTGAGGCACTTTTCCCCTAAGGAGCTTTGCGCGTTTAGGAACTGGACCCCAGTCCTGGTGTGCTGGGTATGTCAGGGCATTGCATGTGCTCTGGGTGCTGCTTTGGCCCGGGGGCTGTCCCAGCAGCGTCTGGGCTGCCCTTAGTCCACTGAATGGCCCTCAAAGGCAAGGGGGTCACTGCTGCTTGTTTGGTTGGTTAAGAAGAAAAAGGGAGGGAAAGCTTTGTGACTCTCAGGTTGGCTTTCGTGGCTAAACTCTGGTTTGACATTGGGATTTGGAGCCATGATGTTGACTTCAGGTTTTTGTCATTTTTGCACGTATTTTTCTGAATGCATAAAAGAAAAATGATGCTGTCCATCATGATGTCAGAGAAATATGTTGACGTATGTTTTTTTCTGAAAAATATGGTAGTTGTGTTTTGATGTGGTAAAAGCTGAAGTCAAGTGGTTTCCAGGTTTAAGGAACTCAGCAGGACACGCTGCCGCCTGAGGAGGCTTTGGGTGGATGCTCCCAGGGCTGCCGTGGGCCTGGCGTTCAGCTCTCACTGTGGCCCCACACCGCCTGCTGGGGATTGTGGTGCTGAGAGGCGAGGATGAGTGAGCCCTGCACCTGGTGTGATCTGGTCGTGGAGACAGACAGCAAACAGGCTTTTTTTTTTTTTTTTGGTAATTTTTAATTTTTTTTTTTTTTTTTTTTTTTTTTTTTGTAGAAGGGGGGTTTACCCGTGTTAGCCAGGATGGTCTCGATCTCCTGACCTCGTGATCCGCCCTCCTTGGCCTCCCGAAGTGCTGGGATTACAGGCGTGAACCACTGCGCCCGGCCTTCCCCGGGGTAATTTTTAA